GGCTCCCCGCTTATGCTAATGAAGCCCGGGAAATTCAAATCCCGGGCTTCATTAGCAAGTGCGGTATGCATACATTACCCTCCTAGTTCGAACTAGGAGGGTAGTGTAGACATACCCCCAGCCTGCTCCGGCTCCCGTCGCCTGTATAATGAGTCGGGGGTGCATCTCCTGCTGTCGCCCTGTGCCAGGCCCCCAACATTTCCCGGGTCCCTCCATAGGGACCATAGGTTGGTTGGAGCAGCCGCCTCATTGCTCGGGGCAAGGAGCAGGGCAGGGCTTGTGGAAGGGGTGGGGCAGGGCCAGCTGGGTGAGGCTTGTGGGTGGTTTCCCTGGGCCCCATGTAGGGGCACTGAGGGGGTTGCCCCTCGCCCCGTGGGACGGCCCTGTCTGTGATCATAAACTGTCATGAGCGGAGAGGAAGTACACAACACACGAGCCACCCTTTAGACTTTTGCTTTGACCTTGGGCGAGTCCGAACCTGCGTTTTGGCAGAGGTTCGCCCTGGTATTTGTGTTTGGACTTAAAGGGCAGGGCATACTTTACGCTTCTGTTGTTCTACACGAAAACACGACACCGAGGTATTTCCGCTCCACCTAGGCATTCAGGACCAGACGGACAAAGGCATTTAGGTGCGTAGGCACCTTTGAAATCGGGCTCCTGTCCAAGCAGCCTGTCACGCTGATCCTTAGCCCCGCCAAAAATAGACACGCTGTACCTCCATCCACAGCGATTATTTTCCCTACCCACAAAGCTTGGGGTTCTGAAAACAGTACTCACTCAGCGTAATTATTGGTAGCATTCAATACCTCCACAAAAAACACAGCTGCCTGCAAAGGCAAACAATACAGGCTCAGATACGGACGGGCAAGACAACCCAGAAGCACGTGCAACTAGCCCCATAGAGAAAAGAAGAAAGCCAAGATTACTGCGTGATTAGATGTCTGGCTGGGGGCACTGACTCCATAAATCCTTTATATAAGTGGCGAGGAACTCCCTTAACGTTCACACCACTTGAGCAGGTCACGGAGATGTCTGAGAAACCGTGGGAACCATGTAGACACACTGACAACGCACCTTTATACAGCGCCGCTCACAAAAGGTCCCCCGGCCCTTCACCTCCCAAGATGTAGCTAAATGCAGCCTTAAACGTAACCGAGTCGTCTGTGAATGCAGAGATCCGCCCTCTGTCAGGCCAACCTCCCACTGACTTCAATGCCTAGGCCGAGGCGGGTGACCTTCCATACCCTTCCGGAAACAAAGAGAATGAGACGAGCCCTTTACGTCACCTGCTGTGGTGACCATTGTTTCTCGCTGATTTTGCGAAGATCTAGGAGCTTGTCTTGAAACGCCAGCAACGGGATTGGAACCTGGTCGACCAAATCGTCTGGCACGTTATTTAAAATGGCATTCAGTGACGAGGAACTGGAGACGATCTGCCAGGGATAGACAGAGGGTATTAAAATGCATGACCTTCATCTCCTATGCATCTTGCCCCAAACATGATCTTAATGTATTGGCAGAAAGGGGGGCAAATCAGCCAGTAATCAACACATACCCAAATTTTCTGACAGCATCTCCAAATCTTGAAATTCCAGCTTCAGATAACCCAATGGCTTGCTTTGCAGATCTAGGTCTCTGGCTAATGCAGATTACATTTTGCTCTCCACAGAAATACAGAACTCAAAGGGACCTTGAGAAGTCATCTAGTCCCGACTCTTGTATTGATGAATGACCAAGTAAACCCCTATACCATATGTAAGAGGTGTTTATCTAACCTATTCTAAAATACCACTCTTGGGATCCTGTTCCAGATCTTAGCTATTCTTATATTTAGAAAGTGTTTTCTAATTTCTAACCTAAATAATCCTTCTTGCAGATTAAGCCTATTAGAACATAAGAATGACTGTACTGGGTCAGATCAAAGGTCCATTTAGCCCAGTAGCCTGTCTACCGACAGTGCCTAACACCAGGTACCCCAGAGGGGATAGACCGAAGACAATGATCAAGTGATTAGTCTCCTGCCATCTATCTCCAGCCTGTGACAAACAGAGGCCAGGGACACCATTTCTATCCCCTGGCTAATAGCCTTTTATGGACCTAACCTCCATGAAATTATCTAGCTTCTCTTTAAACTCTTTTATAGTCCTAGCCTTCACAGCCTCCTCTGGCAAGGAGTTCCACAGGTTGACTACACGCTGTGTAAAGAAGAACTTTCTTTTATTCGTTTTAAACCTGCTGCCCATTAATTTCATTTGGTGTCCCCTAGTTCTTCTATTACTTCTTCTCCTACCTCCAATGGACATGGAGAGCAACTGATCACAGTCCTTTTTATAACAGCCCTTAACATATTTGAAGACTATTAGATT